AAATATTATTTGATGCATATCCTGAATTTTAACATAAATAAACTTGACAGAATCTCCTTTTTTTTTGTTATCTTTGCATGTGAATCAACACTACTCAACTTCTGTGGCATTTTTGACTAATGTAGTGCAAAATTAGAAAAAAAAAATCTTTTAAAATTGCAATTGGATTCAAACTAATAAAAGATTGTAAAAAATCTTGCTTGGCTCTGGTTATGAATCAACACTTAAGAACCACCTTTTGCGATTTACAATGCTAGAATATTAGATAAAACGACCATGTTTTTTTTACTATTATTTGAACAAACCATTGCTCTATTGGTTCTGCATGTGATGGCATGCAACAAAAACTAAATCTTTGTGCCACCTCTTGAAATGTAATATAAAAAATAAAGAGAAAGAAATCAATAGAAAATCAATAATCAATTTTATGTAAATCAGTACAAATGTCAACGTTTCAGATTTTCCTGAAACATCCTTCACATTTAAAATTGTGTGTATTTAAGTATATGTGATTATCTTTTTTTTTTTTTTTTTTAGAAAAAGCTTTATGTGTGCAATCTTCAAAATCAATCGCTATTGTTACTTAAAAACTGACAACATTTATTGACCGCAAACACTTCCCTGAAAACATTATGATTTGAAAGGCATCTACGCTCATGTTAGTCTGTTTTTTATTATTCTGAAGTCTCAATAATCCAAGACCAGGCCGTATCCTGAGCAGAGAAGACTTTTTTTTCTGAGAAAATTTAAATCCTTTCAGGTTTATACCTCTATGATGACACTGTTTTAAAAACAATTTATTGAATCCGTTTTATCTTTATGGATTGGTATGGTATTGTGAGTTGGTCTAATAAGAACAGTTTGAGTAGCCTTGTGAAGGTGTCTAGCAAGAACAGTGATTTTAACTAAACAGGTCTAATGGTATTTTACCATAATTATGTTTTAAAGAGAGCTCAGGGTATCCTATGCACCTCGGATCACCCATTGTACACTGTGTTTCAGCTGCTGCCATCAGGACGTTGTTTTAGAGTTTCTATTTGCAGGATGAATAGAATTAGAAATGTTTTTAGAATGGCGGCCATTTGGTCATTAAATAAGTCCAGCGGGGAGGGAGATGCATCTAAAAGATGCTGTATTGTATGTTGTGTGGTAATATTTTGGTAATGTGTTACGGCACCTTGCTGCAATTTTAGTTGAGAGTCTGAGATGCTGTGGCAGTCATGGAGGACTGGAGAACATGAGACTGATTCCTGAAAGACCAGTGTCTGACGAGTCTCTGCATTGATCCCATGGGCCAGCCTGTGCACCCGCCGGTGACCTACTCACACCTGCAGCTTCTCCACGAAGGACTTCCAGCCCCAGTGCCACAGGAAGTTTGGCCAGAGGAGAAATGGTCATGCCCAACTGAGCCTGGTTCCTCTCTAGGATTTTTTTCATTCACTTTCATCAATTGGTGAAGTTTTGTTCCTCGCCACTGGCTTGCTTGCTTTTGAACTAGTAGAGCT